TTAGTTGTCCATCGTATATGGATTAGTTTTCTTTTCTTTGACGGGCTTTGCTTTAGACCAATCAGTAGTAAAAATTGTACGGGCGCCTTATTTGGTCGCCCCCATTTAACCTATACCCATTTTTTAAAAAACTTTTAACTTGTACCCACTTTTTAAACAACTTCAGCCCCCTTTCTCCTCCTTCTCCTCCTCAAAGTTATATCCGTCTCTTCTTTCTTAAACTTCTCCTTCTCCCTTTCAGATATACCATTTGTCATTTATGGACCTCTTCTATGTTATTATTATTTCGTAGCTTTCTTTATTTTTTCTGGCTAACGTAACAACAACAGCATAAAGTTGCATCTACATTCTCGAATCGAAGCAGTGGGTTTTTGAACTTTTGAAGCTTCATATCAAAAGTCCGTAAATAAGGGAAGAGCTTTCCATGTCTAAGTTCTTGGAATGCTGGATATGAATCTGCTAAGTGATTTTCCTTCTAAAGTAAAAGCAAATTTCTCCATAGGAAGAGGTGTTCCATTTCTTGTGCTTTACAAATTGCTTTGACTTCTATCTAATGCGCTTACAATTTTTTTTGCAAAGCGGACACAAGTTAAAATGTGACACAAAAAGCGAGTATAGATGCAAATGCCCCCTATCAGTATTGGGCTTACATAAACAACTAGGCACTAATGATAAACAAAGAGAGCTTCCTTTTCGTGCTGGTCAGAAATTATCCGACAAGAAATTTCGCTATCATAGGATTGTTATAGTTACAATTATTTTTCGCTGGAGCTTCGGTCACCGGCCCCCCTATCATTTAAGGAAATGTTGCAATTTAATTCCCTTTTTTATATTTTATTTATTCATATGATATTCGGCAAAAAATTCATATATTTATCCATTGTTGTTTCAAATTCTAATACTTTTAATCATCTTTTGAGTATTAGTTATATTACTTTGTGCTTAATACTATATTTTAACTGTATAGGAATAAAGCGATATGAAAATGAAAAGATTTGGAGCAAAATTAAATACAATAAGGAAGAAAAAGAAAGAAAAAATAAAAAATAAAAAAAGGGACACCTTTGGGTTTTGTCCCCCAAGTGAAAGACAAGAAAAAGGGATATATAATTCAATTGCATTTAGAATGCAATGGATGAAATTAACTCAGCGAAGGAATTGAACATGAAAACGTACTGGATCCGGCGCTAAGGCCTCGCGCTGGTCTGGACGCTGCGTGTGTGGTTTTCTTATTTCGTTAAGGACAATGTTATTTCAATCCTACACGACCTCAATTCGTATTAAAAGAATTCTAAATCTAATTTGGAAGGGATTTAATATATTTTGAAGAAGAATTCACGTGGGGAAGACACATCACACTTGGAGGAGGCTTCTAATTAACTAGTTTTTCTTCTCTTCTCTTCTTTTAGTTTCATAGTTTATTAGTTCTAGAGTTTTGGGTGCTACATGAACATTGAAGTTTGAATTGTTCTTATTATTTATCATATTGGTTTATTTATTCAATCTTGCGCTTAATTATTTGATTGTTTGATCACCAATTGAATAATATCTACGAATCTAGGATTGAACTCGGGAGAGAAAATTTTAGATTGCATATAAGATTGAGTAGAGCAAGATCTTGAACTCGAGCAACGGGGAACCGATTTACGGATAGGATAGGGATATACCTAATCGCCTTGCTTGATTATTATACGGGAATTATTAATGCGTTCTTGCTAATCCTAATTCTATAGGAATATAGATGTTGGGTTAGCTTGAATAGGTGAGTAGTACTCCGGGAGAAGGCAACGAGCAATATTAACTCTGTCAATCAATAAACCAGATAAATTAATTAGACGATTTAGGTAGAAAACTCAACGGGATTGTTAGCTAACACATAACTCTAGAATATTAACCCTCATTGAATTCGTCTCTAATATTCGCCAACTTGTTTCCTTTAATTTCATAGTTTGCTACTCTAGATTAGTTTTAATTAAATATTTATACTTTAGAAAATTGCTTGAATAGATTAATTGTCTTAGTTTAATTTAGTAAATAATTAATCACAAGTCCCTGTGAGTATGATATCTGGACTTACAATCCTATATTACTTGTACAACCACGTATATTTACGTGTGCATTTTAGAGCAACATCATACGATGAGAAAAATAACCTTATTAGAAAAAAAGGTTTGACAAAAATTAAGCTTGAAAGGTGAAGTTTATAGATATGCAGTGTTGCCGCTCCAAAAAATAAAGCCAACAAAATATATATTTTTTGTATATTAATATTATAATATACATATAATATATATATATATATATATATATATATATATATATATATATATTATATTATATTTTTTTATATTTGGCTGGCGTATATAATTATTGTTTGATCGACCGGCTAAATGTGTATCTTGCCTAGGATCTTTACACAAATAGTTGGCTATATTTACTGTTTCCTTTTTCTATCCATATACATATATTATATATGTATAATACACAAATTATGAATATATTATATTGGCTATTTTAATTTAAGGGATTGGGTGAGCGACTATTTGGCTTAAGTTTTCTTAAAATATTAAAAGAAATTTTACCTCATATAGCAAAGCTTTTCACCCTATTTATTATAAATAAAAATCCTTTTAAATTATTATTTTCTATAGCTACCTTTTAGATTTTACATCAAAATATGTATTTATAGTCACTTCCTATCATTAAGCAGTTAAATACGCTGTTTAATATTTTTTTCTCTCATTCTTGCAGTTTATTCTCTCCCAAAATCACTGCATAGTATCTTATTTCTCTCTCCACGGTCTCTCTCCTCACTCTAGGCGACATGGAGACTTAGCAGCTATCATGGCCGTTTTCAATATTTTTTGCTCCAATTTCTCTCCCCAACTCTCTCTTTTATCAGCGCCACTATCTCCCTCAATGCTCCAAAAAGTTGTGGTAAATGTTAAAGTTTTTGGGTTTTTGACCGGTTAAAGCTTCTTCTTTTTCTTTTCAACAGTTTTTTTAAAATATTTATCATTGTTAGCTTTTCTGCAGAATACCCACTAAAACACTTAACTTCCAACGGTCATCTTTCGATTTGCAAATCACTCAAGAGGAACCTGTATTTGCACATTCATCAGCAACCATTGAAGTCGAAAGGAGAACAAAGATACGCAATGACCCTAATTGTATATGTATTCGAGTCCGAATACTTTGATTTTTAGTTTGTACATTGATTTTCTCTTCTTGTATTTAGATGTATTTATATGTATTCGATAAGTCATACACTGATTTTTATTTTGTACAATAATTTTTGAATGTTGTATTTAGATGTATTTATATGTATTTGAATTCATACAACAATATTTTAAAATACATTGTTAGTTCTATAATTTTGATGTTATTCATCAATTAGTTATGCATTCAATCTAACTGTACTCATATGTATTTTCAACATAACTGTATCCGTCTGTATAAAATAACACAGTGAAATACAGTAAAATACTCTCAATACTAATAGAAAATCAATGAAGCAGTAATATCATGTATTAGAAATAAATAAAATATTATGAATACAAAAATAAATTTGAATACATTAAACACAGCTGTTAAATACAACAGAATACAAGCACTAGGTTTATTACAAAATATGCAGGCAGTAGGTTACTATTACAGGTTGTATCTGACATAAATACATGATATATTCATATACAGAAAATCGAATACAATCACTAGGTTTATTATAAACCTCGAACAATGTGAGTACAAAAAAAAGCTTGAACTGCATCAGAAAAAAAAGAGGGACCGAAACTCTAAAGAATACTCTGTTTATTGGTGTTTAGCGTTTGATAAATCTTCTCATTAATTAGATTGATAATATTGTGTGCTATAATTGATTTAGGTGAGTTATATTAGGAGTATATCCCATTAACTTAGCATCTTTCCGTTATTAAATAACCGGAGAGACCTATTATTACATTGTATGACATGAATACATGTGAATACAACGACTGACAGCTGGATTGCCCTATTTTTTAGCCGATTTTTGCTATTGTATTTAGTATTCATGAATACAGTAACTCGAATACATCGAATATATTACCATAACAACTGAAGGTAGCTGCGGAAAGTAATTGTGTATATGGTAGCTATAAGAAGCTAATAACCAATTCCTGAACGCCGTTACGAGTATTATTCGGCCGGCCCAAATCCATGTGGAAAGGCCCAAATGCTGTTTCCCATTTTTTCCAACTAACAGGAAACTCTTCTGCCAAAAAAAAAAAACAAAAAAACATGAGTTAGAATTGGCAAAAAATATAAAGTTGAAATTGTACGTGTCCATAAATTTCACTTCGTAAAATGTTGAAATTCTGAATAAAAATCACTATTTCTAGAAATACCTTGTCCAATAAATACAACCAAAAAAAGCAAGGTGCAACAATAGTCACTTTTAAGTCCGGTATTTAAGATATGTCTACAATTTACAATGTACTTAAATGTTAGTTAATTCACTAAAACTTCAGGACTAAGTATCCTCAATTTGAAAATTCAGAATTTTTGAGCTGGTAATTAAAAATTCAGGACACTTAGTCCAGAATTTTTGAATTACTAATTTAAAATTCAGGACATAAAATTCGAACTTCTTGACACATTTCGAATTTTAGAACAAGGTGTCCTGAAGTTTGACTTTGAAATTTAAACTTTAGGACACTTTGTCCTGAAATTTGAGTAAAATTGACTAATCTTTAAATATATTACAAACTGTGGATATATTTTAAACATCATGCTTAAAAATGGCTACCTAGTGTCATTTCCACCCAAAAAAAATGGGGTAAAAAACAAATTTATAAATTTCATTTTCATTTCCTTCCCTTAGATTCTCTCCTAATAAAGTAATTACGGCTGCAACAACAATCCAACTTACATAAAAATCAATGCTATTTATTTAGATTCTGTCCTTATTCCTGTCGGCGAAGTTTCCTATTATTATTAGTATTTCTTTACTTTCTCCTTTTCCTATATTACTTACTTGTCACCTCCTCTTTCACATTCTGCCACTTCAACAAAAATCCCTTTCATATGCTCCCTTAATTCCACCAAAATTCTCTGCTATTTTCACTTTTCTGAAATATGGGTCTGTGGGATTCTTTACTCAACTGGCTTCGTAGGTAATAAAGTTTCTTCCTTTATGCTTTTTTTTTTTTTTTTTAAAGAAACCCCTTTTTATTTATTTCTTGTTTTGTTGAAATTATATGGAGAATTGGATTGAATTGAATTTGATTTTTTGGGTGTGTCTTTCTTGCTAAAAGTATTCTCTTTCGTAGTTCAATTTTTGATAACACCTTGACTAATTCGACGTGGTAACTGCTACCTCACCTAAGGGAGGAAGAGAGTGGACATGAATTTTTGTTTTTTTAATCTGTTTTTAGTTACTGTGAGAATGGAAATTCAGAAGTGAAAAGTTGGAATTTGGATTAGAAGAATTAGGTTGTAAGTGCAGGATTTGCTCTTTGGGTCCTGTTGCCCTCTTTTATGGTTTATAGTTTTTGTTCATCTTGGCATTAGGTTGATAAGTTTAAGAATTTAAAAGAAAATTACTTTGGTTGGATTGTAAAAGCTATGTCCCTGATAATCAAATAATATTCAGTCCATAAATATAATAACAACAAACCCGGTGTAATCCCACAAGTGGGGTCTGGGGAGGGTAGTATGTAAGCAGACCTTACCCCTACCTTCAAGAAGGTAGAGAGGCTGTTTCCGAAAGACCATCGGGTTAGGAAAGATAAAAGGAAGGGCAGCAACAATCACACCAGTTATAAAACCGAAGTAAAAATACAAAACTAAAACTGAGTATCGTAATCAGAAGGCCGAAACATTCATTCCATAAAGAATCTGAAAATTAGACTTTATAGTTTTATTTTTTACCTTTTACTTATTGGGACGGTTTGCTTTTGGTGAAGGAGGGGCTTATGAAACCAAGTTAATGGATCTGTATTTTAGAGTAATTAATAGCGTTAGCAGTTAAACCAATATGGCGTTGTGAGTTCAATGATTCTGTTGCCGTTATCAAAATGTGATGTTCAAGCTCATTGTTTTTCTTAATGGGGTTGATAGAGGAGCAATAGCTTGCAGCTTGTCATTTGTCCTTGCCAATCAGAGTAAATATTTATATGATATTGTGGTCTAGGAAGCAACCCCAGTGTAAAGATAGGTGAAGAGCTTTGGCAAATTTTATATAGGAAAGACTAACAGAACAACAGAGACTAAACTTGTATCACAGAGAATAATTTCATTAGTGAACTATTTAGACTACACCAACGCCAAAAATAGGTCTCCTGATGCTGTTTACATGAGAAGGCTGTGCATCTATTAGCGTTGTAATATCATCATCCTTCTAATTCCGTCTCCTTCAAGTAGTAACTCCCCATTTCCGAAAGTGCTAGAGAGCAGTTGCTATGCCTAGAGGAATGTCGGATGGCTAGATACATCATAGTCTAGCATCTGCGATTTGGTTCTCTTTCCGCTGATGTTAGATTGACAACTTAAATATTCTTCTTCTTTGGCTAATGGTTTCTGACCTAACCATTAAGCTGATTAGTGGAGAGCGCCTGATACTCATCCTGCCGCCGCTCTCTCGTTGTTTCCGTCAGAAATGCTTGGAACTGCATCAGCTGGCTGATATGCAGAATAACCTCCATCACTTTTGTGATTACTTCAAATAATGGGTTGCCGACCCCCAACCTCCGTAATATTGGAAAAGTAGTATTTTGATCGAGATTGGAGAAGAAATATTAACCATTCTTAGTCACAATGTAATATGAGTCGTGCTCCCAGCACTGATGTTCAGGTCTCTTTATTTATAACAACAAATCCAGACATAAGGAGCTTTTCTCTGCAGCTAGCATTTTCCAGATAAGATACTTCATGTGGAGCGGAGGCAGCTTGTCCCCTTCCGTCTGGCCAAAGGAGCTTGCTATTCCTTCCAATACTTTTTCCCTATCAGAGTTGTCAACATATTATGTAACCCCCAGCCCCACCCAAAATCCCTCTTCCGAGCAAACATGTGGCCAGTTTCCTGTCAAGAAATGCTGATTAGAACTTTCAAAGTAAGGGTCATCTGCCAGTAAATATGTATATATTCAAGAGAAGGCTATATCTCTGGGTGCTAGTCAAACAAGCAACTATACTGAATATATCGTTATATGCTTATCAGTGCTATTGATGAATCTGAATGTTGTATCAGATTACTGATTATATAAAAAGAATGTTGTATCAGATATATGCAGTGTCCTAATCAAAGGCAGGGGAGTGCTATTGAGTGATGATTTTGCTTTTTCTATCTTGGATTAATCTGGAAACTTAATTAGATATTACTATTCAAGTTTGCCCTTGTAAACTCAAATTCATGTTGTTGGAATAATGACGGGTGCTTTATTCTTTATGTCATGTGTACCTGAGTGACATTGTTGATACCCAAGTGTCTTATTTGTTTTCTTGTTCAGCCTATTCTTTAAACAGGAAATGGAACTTTCCTTGGTTGGCCTTCAAAATGCAGGGAAGACATCTCTTGTCAATGCCATTGCTGTGAGAACCTTATATACTCTCTCTCCTCTTCCACCTCGCTCTATTTTTCATTTTGATGTTAACATTTCTTAACATTTGATATATTGATCTTTATCAGACTGGAGGCTACAGCGAGGACATGATTCCGACGGTTGGTACCTTGTCCTCAGAGAATTAATTTAGCAATCTTGATTTCTCTCGGTTTACTTGCTCAATAAAGTTTCTTACAATTAGGTTGGATTTAATATGCGTAAAGTTACAAAAGGAAATGTTACCATAAAACTCTGGGACCTTGGAGGCCAAAGGAGATTTCGAACGATGTGGGAGCGCTATTGTCGTGGTGTCTCTGCAATATTGTAATTCCTAATCTTGATCTCTATACTTATCTGTCTCCTCAAATTTATTTACTTATTTCTTTGGTTTAATACACCATGCACTTAATGCTTTTGCCTGAATTCATGATTCCGACACTTGAAGGGATGAAACTGTTCCCGAGCTATGCACCTCAAGTTTCATTAACAGTGTGCAAGGTTCCGCAAATTAAATTAACTTATAAACATCCCATCTTAATGTTGCTGCGTTTTTTGTGGGTTGGGGAAAGTACTGGGTGCCTTCTTTCTCACGCCCATGTTATTTTTCCTGCCTTAAGTTAACATCATTGCTGTTGGTTTTAGTTGAGTGTGTTATACCTACACTTGCCTCATCATCATCGTTGGTAGTTGGATGGCTTATGTCCATGATACTCTGTGTTTGCAGCTTTATTGACTTCTCAGTTATAGCTTGCTTTCTGTTATTAACAAGGACTATAAGTAAGAAAAAAAGAATGCTAGAGAGTAATTTTTGTTGAAGACATAATTAAGCATACGAAAGTGTGTTCTCTAATAACCGTTCAGTTTTAAATGAGAAGGTGAACTTCAACATGGTAGCAAAGTAGGCAGAGGCAATTAGTTTAATCTCACAGCTATCCATTATCCATTATCAAAAAGAATTTTCACGTGTTTGGTCTATGAAAAAGAATTACACCTTCACGTAAGGGGGCGTGTTAAAGATATAATTACGTATATGAAAGTGTCTCTTGAACAGCTTAGCTTTTAGATGAAATTGTCACGCGGTTCAGCAGTATAGTTGAAACTTCCTTTCATTTGTAGTGATGGTGTTATTTTTCATCTAATTTTTTTTGGAAACTACAGCTTCGAGGCGTTGAGTATGAAGTGACTCTGCATTTCGTATTCGTGTTGAATTGACATAGGAAATTTTATGCGACAGGTATGTTGTTGATGCTGCCGATAGAGACAGTATACCTATAACCAGAACTGAGTTACATGAACTTTTGAAGAAACCTTCATTAAGTGGGATCCCTTTGCTTATCTTGGGAAACAAAATTGACAAATCAGAAGCTCTTTCGCAGCAGGCATTGGTCGATCAACTGTAAGTAGCTGAACGTTAGCCCCCGCATAAGAATTTGTTTGGCAGAATACATAGACAGACACCTAAACTTGTCACGTAGATAAAAAAAATCCCGACAAGTTTAGGTTATCGTCTTATGTGTGCTGTCAATGTCTTCCCTTCCTTTTACGAATTGTCTTAATTATGATGCCTGTTGCATCTCAGAGGTCTTGATTCAACAACGGATAGAGAAGTCTGCTGCTACATGATCTCGTGCAAGGATTCTGTAAACATCGATGCTGTTATCGATTGGCTAATTAAGCACTCAAAGACCGCGAAATGAAGAGCGCTTCCAGGCTTCTTGATGCCTATAGCGGAGGATATAGTAATCTGGAAATTAGAATGTAGTATTTGATGGTCTTGAAATGATCTGCTAATATATTTTCTGGCTGATCTTTCTTTGTTGGTTCAATATAGCTGATTACAATTCTGTGTAATTTAAGCGTTTGAACAGTCCTTACTCATACATCTTTCATTATGAATTGACGTTGTTTGTTGTGCTTCTAAGATAGTACATTGGGATTTTAATTTTTTAAATAACCGAAAAATCCTTGTGGGTCAGTTGGTGTACGATTCGAAAGTCGGTGAATAATAGATCTTGATTTCGGTTCGGCAAAGTTCAAACTCATGACGTGTGTCATACATGGGCGGATGTAGGTATATTCGACCAGTTTAATTGAATCTATAATTTTCGATACGGAATAAAAATTTATATGTAAAAATTTATTGAAATTACAAAAATAATAGATATGAACCCATAACTTTAAAAATATAATGTGTTTAATGCTAACAAATTTAAAAGTTGAACCCGTAAAATTTAAATTTTGGATTCGTCTATGGTGTCATACATGTTCATCCTTTCCTAACGCACACGCAAATCTTAAACCAAATAATCTCTAAGCTGTCCACGAAAATGGAAATCATAGAGAAGCTGAACAATAGACCAACAACAACTAATACGCCTCAATTACATGTTTGTTAGGGTTGGCAAAATGATTTTTAAATGTTCATGTCGTTCTATTTAAAAATGTCTAAGTCATTTATCATTGAAAAGATTCCAGCACTAGAGGTTTTTAAATTTTTCTAATATGGCCAAAACTTAATGATGATTGATTGGTATAACCTACATTAGCATACGAAAAATCGAAAATCGTGTTGATTTTTTTATGGTCCTAAAATATTAAAAAAGTAAGGATTGATTATGGCGAGGCAAAGGCTATAGTTCATTAGGTCGTTTCTGATATACCCACAAAATTTTAGGCGCTTGGCACAGGTTGCTCGAATTTATGAAGATGACGTGGACAGTACATGAAAAAATGGAAATTCTACTGAATTCCTTCTTTATAGTCCTAAAACACCAACAAAAAGAGGAATGGTCATGGCGAAGGAATGACTATGGATCATTAGTCATTTCTGATGGCGCACAAAATTTCAGACGAATCGGGGCCGATCGTCCGAATTCATAAATATGGCGTGGATATTAGCAAACGAAAAATCAGAAATCGCAATGAATATTGGAAATCACACTGAATGAGGAATAGTCATGGCGAAGCAATTACTATGGTTCATTAGGTCGTTGTTGATTGGCCCACAAAATTTTAGCGATTCAGGGCCGGTCGTCTGGATTCATGAAGATGACGTGGACATTAGCACATGAAAATAAAAAATCGTACTGAATTCCCTTTTTATGGCCCTAAAACGCCAAAAACTAGGATTAATCATGACAAAGTTATGACTATGGTTCATTAGGTCGTTTATGATGGGCCCACAAAATTTTAGGCGATTTGGGACCGGTCTCCTGAATTCATGAAAATGACATGGGCATTAGCACACGAAAAATCGAAAATCGTGCTGAATTCCTATTTTATGGGCCTAAAATGCCAAAAAAGAGAAACAATCATGGAGACGAAATGATTATGATTCATTAAGTCATTTCTGATAGGCCCATACAATTTTAGGCTTTTCGGGGTTGATCGATCGAATTCATGAAGATGACGTAGATAGTACACGAAGATTGAAAATCGTGTTGAATTCCATGTTTTATGGTCCTAAACTCCAAAAAAAGGAACGACCATGGCGAGGAAATAGCTACGGTTCATTAGGTCATTTCTAATGGGCCCAAAAATATTTAGGCGATTCGGAACCGGTCACCCGAATTCATGAAGATGAAGTGGACATTAGCATACAAAAAATCGAAAATCGTGCTAAATACATGTTTTGCGACCCTAAAATGCCAAAAAAGAGAAAAAGTCATCACTAAGCATTGACTATTGTTCTTTAGCTCTTTTCTAATAGGCCCACAAAATTATAGGCGATTCAGGACCGGTCACCATAATTCATGAAGATGGCGTGGACATTGCACACAAAACATCAAAAATCGTGCCGGATTCCTATTTTCTGGCCCTAAAACGCCAAAAACGAGCTACGATCATGGCTACGCAATGACTATGGTTCGTTAGTCTGATGGACCTACAAATATTTAGCTGTTTGGGGACCGATCGCTCGAATTCATGAAAGATGACGTGGACATTAGCACACGAAAAATTGAAAATCGTGTTGAATTCCAGTTTTATGGCCCTAAAATGCCAAAAAAATGAGGAATAGTCATGGCTGTCACACCTCCTTTTTACCCGCGCCGCAAGGGCGCAGAGGGAGTTTTTCCAATTAACGAAATGAGATTTATTTATTTAGTTCAGAGTCGCTACTTGGGAGTTTTATGGTGTCCCAAGTCACCGATTTAATCTCGAATTGAGGAAAAGAGTGACTCTGTTAACAGTCCGCGAACCAGAAATCCGGATAAGGAATTCTGTTAACCTAGAAGGTGTTAGGCATTCCCAAGTTCCGTGGTTCTAGCACGGTCGCTCCACTGTCACATTTGACTTAAATATCTGGTTTTTATACGATTATGAACTTATGTGCAAATTTTAACTTTTAGCCGCTTTTATTATTATTATTATTATTTTTTTAAGAATGTGAACATCGTTTAAAACATGCCTTTGGATTGCATCACATGAAATGCACCCGCAATCCGGAACACATTTTATTCAATGTTTTGGGATTTGGATTTGGGTCGCATGAAATGCACACCCGAGTTTAAGAAGGTAAGATTATTAAAATGCGTGCCTAAAACGACTAGCGCGTGGTTATTTTGGAAAAAGCCGTGAATTTCGCTAAGCGGCCGATCCCGGGTTCTAAGTAATTAATACATACATTTGTGAGGGCCCCGCAATCTATACGTTTTACTAGGCGAGGCTCATCTCATTTATTTTTTAAATGGACAATCCTAAAATGACTACATTTTTCTATTAAAATTAGGCTCTAAAATAAAGAAAGAAAATCCTAATTAATTAGGAGCTTTCAAAAAATTAAGAAAACGTAACATACTAATTGCTAGATTAAGACAAATATTAATGGAAAGGAATTTTACTAAAAAAAAATTCGAAATTGTAAATAAAATAAGAAATTCGGCAACTAATATTCAAAAGAAATCAAATATAGCTAGATTGAAGCTTGCATTGTTATAAAAAAAACTATTGGAATTAATTATTCCCGACCATTTGAAACTAGATTTAACCATAATTACTAAAGCTTATTAGAAAGTTTATTAAACTTGGACATTATCTAGTCTTGTTTGAACTCAAATCCCGCCTTAATTAAATTTAGCTACCCGTTCACGATTAACCTACTGTTGACAATATTAAAACCTTCATAGCTAGTGAATTAACCCGTTTTGCCAAGCCGATTCACTTAAAGACCAACTTATGTTATTTTCCTCTTATTCCAATTATTAAACAGTTTGACGGTAAGGAACATGCTTAAACATATACTACCTAATAACCAAACTAAAACAGAGTACTATTTAATACATCACTATAAGATGCCTAGTTATGCAAAGCGATAGAAATTTATAAAATAATAATACCTGAAATAACCTAAATACAATCAGTAAAAGAAACAAGGAAAAAGCTAAACTAAAACTTCAAAGTTCCATTCTTCATATGTATTCATGCTTTCACATTTTCAGCTTGCAATAGCTAGTATTACAGTCGTGCACATGGTATTGGAAACATGAGAAGATGAAGATGAGAATCAGCAGCAGTTGTAACAACACAACAACAACAGTCTAGCGACAGTAATAGCCCAGGTACAGAGTTTGCAAACCGGTGGAGCAGTAACCCAAAAATCAACCAGACTTAGGAAAACCAAGCAAAGACCCGAAAATCTCAATAACTTTCACAGACAAGACAGAATGAACCCAAAAAGACAGAAGAGGCTCTGGGATAATTCTGATTTTTGTTCTTTTAAGATTCGAAGTCCAACACTCTCAAGATTAAAAGTTTGTTTTATCTCTTTTTTGGTTCTGAAATTTCTATCTCCAAATTCAGTCCCTTTCTTTTTTTTCCTAAGTGTCAAATGAGTCCTCTTATATCCAAAGCAAGACTCCCTTTTTCTTTTTACCTCTTTCCTTTTTACTTTAAACTATTCTTACTACCCCTTTTACCTCTTTTTTTTACCTTTTTCCCAATATTCTTCTACTATGTATAACTTTTAACTTTTATTATTACCTATACTATTTCTAATTTTTACTTAAGTAAAAGCAGTCAACGCGGACCCCACGGTTCCCCCTTTTTGAGTGGTCAAAGAAGACCTCATCATTATCCCCTTTCCTTTTTACTTTACATCATTATGTCTTGTCCCCCACTACCATATGTCTTGTCCCCCACTATAATATTTTACTATTATTAGAGCTTAGTGGGCGGAGCACTTAAATTAAATAAATCTGCAATTGGTTAATTCCCGTATTACCCCTAAAACTACTGTTACTGTCCAGATTCAAAAATCTGTTCAAACTTCAAAAATTATCTAAGAACTAAAATCAAATTAACAGCTATAACCAATTCACCTAATCAATTAACCAAAATATAGCAGCTATAACCAATTCTTAATCAAATTCAATCAACAAATTCAAACTAAATGGTGAACAACAAAGAAACGACCGGAATCATTTTGACTGAACAATGTTTTTAAACAACATCCTATTTTCAGATTTAACAACAATAACAAACAAGCATATTCAATTTACTGAGTTCAAATTCAAATTAAGCTTAAACGGAACAAATAAACAGATTCAAATCACTAAACTAAATAACCAATTTAACCTCAAACTAAATCTAACAACATTACAGTCAAAACGAAGGATTCAAGTTATCAAACTAACATACTTCTATATTAAAACTAAATTCTTTTAAATGAATAAAACAAACTGAAGAAATAATAAATTGAACTTCAACTTAAATCTAACCACACAATTAAACTAACAATTTCTATATATATAAAAAATAAACGAGAACAAATGAAACAAACTAAAGAAATAATCAAGAAACGATAAACACGAACAAAAAAAAGAATGAAACATATAATGATTTCAGATCCGAGAATATCAAACAAAATACGGACAGAAATGAAACTTAAACCCACTAACCGGATCGGAACGACGACGAACTCAA